GATTGGCTGAGTCTGAGGCCCGTTTTGAAAATCGGGCAAAACTCGCACTTGCAGCTAGGATGGCAAGGAGCCAATGGTTCCATTGGATTCGTCGGTAAAATTTAACCCATCTATGTCCTTTTCTTTTTTCTCCAAACTGAGTTCGAGAGCGCTATTTCCACAATAAATCGTAATCTGCGTTTTGGGACTTATCTGCCCAAGATAAGCAGCAGTACCATATATTGCACGAAATTTCGCGAACTCATAACTCGGTTCAAAATGAAGCTAGAAGGCTCGATTTTTGCTGGCTTGCCACAATGCCAACTTCCTGCCATTGGCAATTTTTTGAGCCTCATCGCTTCACTCTATTTCCCCGATCCTAAAATCCATGATTTTCTACGCTGTAAATTCCCGGATTTTGTACAGTTCGTCTTCTAGAAAAGCTGCAGCGCTGAAAATCTCTGAGCATTATTGCTGCTAGACACTAACACTACACAAAATGTTTCAGGCTGATTGGCTGAGTCTGAGGCCCGTTTTGAAAATCGGGCAAAACTCTCACTTGCAGCTAGGATGGCAAGGAGCCAATGGTTCCATTGGATTCGTCGGTAAAATTTAACCCATCTGTGTCCTTTTCTTTTTTCTCCAAACTGAGTTCGAGAGCGCTATTTCCACAATAAAGCGTAATCTGCGTTTTGGGACTTATCTGCCCAAGATAAGCAGCAGTACCATATATTGCACGAAATTTCGCGAACTCATAACTCGGTTCAAAATGAAGCTAGAATGCTCGATTTTTGCTGGCTTGCCACAATGCCAACTACCTGCCATTGGCAATTTTTTGAGACTCATCGCTTCACTCTATATCCCCGATCCTAAAATCCATGATTTTCTACGCTGTAAATTCCTGGATTTTGCACAGTTCGTCTTCTAGAAAAGCTGCAGCGCTGAAAATCTTTGAGCATTGTTGCTGCTAGACACTAACACTACACAAAATGTTTCAGGCTGATTGGCTGAGTCTGAGGCCCGTTTTGAAAATCGGGCAAAACTCGCACTTGCAGCTAGGATGGCAAGGAGCCAATGGTTCCATTGGATTCGTCGGTAAAATTTAACCCATCTATGTCCTTTTCTTTTTTCTCCAAACTGAGTTCGAGAGCGCTATTTCCACAATAAATCGTAATCTGCGTTTTGGGACTTATCTGCCCAAGATAAGCAGCAGTACCATATATTGCACGAAATTTCGCGAACTCATAACTCGGTTCAAAATGAAGCTAGAAGGCTCGATTTTTGCTGGCTTGCCACAATGCCAACTTCCTGCCATTGGCAATTTTTTGAGCCTCATCGCTTCACTCTATTTCCCCGATCCTAAAATCCATGATTTTCTACGCTGTAAATTCCCGGATTTTGTACAGTTCGTCTTCTAGAAAAGCTGCAGCGCTGAAAATCTCTGAGCATTATTGCTGCTAGACACTAACACTACACAAAATGTTTCAGGCTGATTGGCTGAGTCTGAGGCCCGTTTTGAAAATCGGGCAAAACTCTCACTTGCAGCTAGGATGGCAAGGAGCCAATGGTTCCATTGGATTCGTCGGTAAAATTTAACCCATCTGTGTCCTTTTCTTTTTTCTCCAAACTGAGTTCGAGAGCGCTATTTCCACAATAAATCGTAATCTGCGTTTTGGGACTTATCTGCCCAAGATAAGCAGCAGTACCATATATTGCACGAAATTTCGCGAACTCATAACTCGGTTCAAAATGAAGCTAGAAGGCTCGATTTTTGCTGGCTTGCCACAATGCCAACTTCCTGCCATTGGCAATTTTTTGAGCCTCATCGCTTCACTCTATTTCCCCGATCCTAAAATCCATGATTTTCTACGCTGTAAATTCCCGGATTTTGTACAGTTCGTCTTCTAGAAAAGCTGCAGCGCTGAAAATCTCTGAGCATTATTGCTGCTAGACACTAACACTACACAAAATGTTTCAGGCTGATTGGCTGAGTCTGAGGCCCGTTTTGAAAATCGGGCAAAACTCTCACTTGCAGCTAGGATGGCAAGGAGCCAATGGTTCCATTGGATTCGTCGGTAAAATTTAACCCATCTGTGTCCTTTTCTTTTTTCTCCAAACTGAGTTCGAGAGCGCTATTTCCACAATAAAGCGTAATCTGCGTTTTGGGACTTATCTGCCCAAGATAAGCAGCAGTACCATATATTGCACGAAATTTCGCGAACTCATAACTCGGTTCAAAATGAAGCTAGAAGGCTCGATTTTCGCTGGCTTGCCACAATGCCAACTACCTGCCATTGGCAATTTTTTGAGACTCATCGCTTCACTCTATATCCCCGATCCTAAAATCCATGATTTTCTACGCTGTAAATTCCTGGATTTTGTACAGTTCGTCTTCTAGAAAAGCTGCAGCGCTGAAAATCTTTGAGCATTGTTGCTGCTAGACACTAACACTACACAAAATGTTTCAGGCTGATTGGCTGAGTCTGAGGCCCGTTTTGAAAATCGGGCAAAACTCGCACTTGCAGCTAGGATGGCAAGGAGCCAATGGTTCCATTGGATTCGTCGGTAAAATTTAACCCATCTGTGTCCTTTTCTTTTTTCTCCAAACTGAGTTCGAGAGCGCTATTTCCACAATAAATCGTAATCTGCGTTTTGGGACTTATCTGCCCAAGATAAGCAGCAGTACCATATATTGCACGAAATTTCGCGAACTCATAACTCGGTTCAAAATGAAGCTAGAAGGCTCGATTTTTGCTGGCTTGCCACAATGCCAACTTCCTGCCATTGGCAATTTTTTGAGCCTCATCGCTTCACTCTATTTCCCCGATCCTAAAATCCATGATTTTCTACGCTGTAAATTCCCGGATTTTGTACAGTTCGTCTTCTAGAAAAGCTGCAGCGCTGAAAATCTCTGAGCATTATTGCTGCTAGACACTAACACTACACAAAATGTTTCAGGCTGATTGGCTGAGTCTGAGGCCCGTTTTGAAAATCGGGCAAAACTCTCACTTGCAGCTAGGATGGCAAGGAGCCAATGGTTCCATTGGATTCGTCGGTAAAATTTAACCCATCTGTGTCCTTTTCTTTTTTCTCCAAACTGAGTTCGAGAGCGCTATTTCCACAATAAAGCGTAATCTGCGTTTTGGGACTTATCTGCCCAAGATAAGCAGCAGTACCATATATTGCACGAAATTTCGCGAACTCATAACTCGGTTCAAAATGAAGCTAGAAGGCTCGATTTTCGCTGGCTTGCCACAATGCCAACTACCTGCCATTGGCAATTTTTTGAGACTCATCGCTTCACTCTATATCCCCGATCCTAAAATCCATGATTTTCTACGCTGTAAATTCCTGGATTTTGTACAGTTCGTCTTCTAGAAAAGCTGCAGCGCTGAAAATCTTTGAGCATTGTTGCTGCTAGACACTAACACTACACAAAATGTTTCAGGCTGATTGGCTGAGTCTGAGGCCCGTTTTGAAAATCGGGCAAAACTCGCACTTGCAGCTAGGATGGCAAGGAGCCAATGGTTCCATTGGATTCGTCGGTAAAATTTAACCCATCTATGTCCTTTTCTTTTTTCTCCAAACTGAGTTCGAGAGCGCTATTTCCACAATAAATCGTAATCTGCGTTTTGGGACTTATCTGTCCAAGATAAGCAGCAGTACCATATATTGCACGAAATTTCGCGAACTCATAACTCGGTTCAGGGCCCGGCACGAGCTGTCAAATGACAAGCTGGAAATCGTTTTCGGCAAAAAAAGCAAAGGGGAAATCGTTTTTGCGGGGTCCGGGGCGGAGCCCCGGAAAAAAAATTGGTAGTGCACGTTCTCTGCTTATTTTAACATGTTATGTGCCTCAACACGCGAAGACTGGAGTTCGCGCGCGTCAAACCGCGCCGTCGCTAATTGCCGCACGCGCGACGTCGCTCAAACGAGCTATTTGTAACGGCATACATGACTAGTTCTCAATGTACGCGTCACATTACGACACCAGATTTTGTAGGCGAACGGAGGGAGGCTAGTGGAAACAAAGTATGAAAAACTATGAAAAACTTATGTAAACGGGACGAGTAATAAGCATTTTTTCCAAAGATTTTGCAAAATTGGTAAATGAAGTTGTAAATTCAAATGGCTCGTTTGCAACGCGCAGATGACGATATGGTATGAAACTTGGTACGCACGTGGACACATGCCTGTAGGAGCTAACTTAGGAGTTTCATTGAAAAATTATGTGACTGAAGGTTGTGGCAAAGTTTTTTCTGAAAATTTCCCGCTACCAAAGAAATAGAAAAATGGCTCGTTTGCAATGCAAAGGCGACGAAATCGCGCGGGATTCGGTGTGTATATGCGCAGTAGGACTAAGTAACAAAGTATGAAAAATTATGAAAAACTTATGTGAATGAAGAGTTTCCCCAACTTATTTCCAAATTAGCTTGTCATTTGACAAGCTAATGACAAGCTGAGCTTGTCAAAACTCTCAATTCACATAATTTTTACAAAATTCTTACATAAATCTACTCTACACCTAAACATTAGTATATATTGAAATTTTGGTTTCAAACCTCCTCCTCTCCCCATTGCTAAAGGCAAAAATAGCCTCAGCAGCCCCGTTTCCTAAGGAGGAAAGCGCGCTCCAATCGAACGGCGTATCGCTGAGTTCCTTCAATCGCCGTCAATATCTCGTCACTCACCTATTGCTGCTTGTAGTAGTTGCTGCTTGTAGTTCAATCGTAATCTCCTTTACCGCTTAGCACCGCTTACTATCTTCCTACTCTAGAAGGACGAACTAGTCTGGACTAGTGTTCTCCTCAAATCTGGGTAAAAAATGTGTCTTTATACCCATGGGGAACAGTCGGTGTGTCTGCGAATTCTCTCTTTTCTGCGGTTCCGGTCCATCTGTTTCCATCATCATCCTCGAACACACCATTCAAAAGCCCATTTTCCTCAGTTTGTATGACGGAAGAAGATACTCTGGCTAACAACATTATTTTGACATTTTCCCGGTTGTATTCATAATTGTAATGGGTCATGCAGAAACCGGTGGAGGAAAAACTGCAGCTTTTGTGTTACCCAAACTCCACTACGTGAGATTGTATCATTTTCTGCAGCGAATTCTTATGATTTGCAATTTTCAGATTATTATGGGGCTCGGCGGTGGCTCCCGTGACAGCAAAGGAGGCAGATTTATCGCCTTAGTGGTAGCATCTACCAGAGGAATAGCAAAACAGCTGTTTGATTCTTTCAGAAAGCATGGGCATCGTAAGTATAAATTGTTTCAGATTTTAACCTTTTCAGCCTCCTGTTTTAGAAACCGATGTGAAATGCTGCGTACTTACGGTGAAATTGCAAGGTTCAAGAATCTCACGGACATCCACAAAGGGTGTGATGTTCTTGTCTGAACTAGTGGAACATGGACCTCATACAAAAAGGACACGTAAGTACATTTCAATAGCTTATACTCGAGCATTTGTCTTCATACAGTGTTGTTTGGAGTTTGAGATTTCTAAGTCATATTTACTTTTGTTTCCTGCATTTTTTGTGCCTTACATTGTGTTTGGGAACCATTTGGTCATTTAGCAACGATGAGCTCTGCGTTATATATTTCCCTTATTTACTGTTTCATTTAAATTTTACTCGCCGCGACAAAGAGTGACTATGGCCTTTGGCGTAGTTCCGATTTTAGTCGGCACGATGTGGCAGCTTGCCAGATGTCTTCAACTACAATCGCAGATTACAAGTGCATATTGTGTATGATAGATGATAAAATGTTCTAGCTTTTGCACATATAGAATGCGCTTACGTCGAGTCATGGACAGTTGGAATATTGCCATCATCGCGGCTGAAATTGCGTGAATTATGGTTGAGGCCTAATTGTTGTACTATTTCGCGCGAAATGTAAGCTGAGATGGTGCAAGCTAGGAGTCTTGAAACTGGGATAGGCCGTCACTGCGCAATATGCAGTTTTCCCTTTTCCTCGCTCTATTTTGCGCCAATCTACTCTCTGAATCATATTGTGGACTATTGTGTGATAGCCGGGTCTGGATTGTTGAACTTGGGGACTGGATAACACCGCAGAAGGTTGAGTTTGGTATTTATTGCCCCATACACTGAAGTTAGCGTCGCTTAAATCGAGGGTTAGGGTTTAGCTTATCATATAATGCCGTGATTCTAGCCATTTCTATCTGTGGCTCTATTTACTCGGCAGATTCACTTGATAATCCGGAGTTTTGCCTTAGAGAAAAGTTGTACAATATTTTTAGGTCAACTTGTCTCAAATGAAGTTCCTTGTACTGGACGAGGCGGATATGCTGCTCAGGAATGGACGAGACAGCCATTTGGAAGCTATTCTTTCGGACCCAAAATTTCCTTCTGTTAGTTCCACCAGTACTTATTGAAGGTCCACGCTGAGAGCTGCAGTCTGTCTCGGATTGAGAAGCGCCAGACATTCAGCGCGACATTTCCACCAGATGTGACGGACTTGGAGAGGAAAGTTCTGGAGAACAAGTGGGTGATTCATTGTTAAGTGGACTATGTTCATTAGTTCTATTCAGTTATGTAAAAGTCTTCAACGGAGCCAGAGGTAGGGCGAATGCACGTGTGAAGCAAGAATTCGTACAGGCGAGTGGAATCTGTGGAAAAAATGACAAACTGTTTGGAATGCTTGAAGAGCAGAGAGATGAACTTGCCAAAGGTGAGCTTTTAAGATTCCGTTATCGCAGCAGCATCGTTTACATCAGCTTTAGATGGTACAATAATGCGAACGCTTATTTTTGTCGAAACGAAAAAACAGGCGGACTTTGTCGCTTTGTTGCTTACCGAAAAGAATATGAAAGCAGCCAGCATTAATAGGTAAGTAAATCATCTTTATTACATGTTTCTATGCTTTATTTGCAGCGATCGGCCTCAGAATGAACGTGAACGGGTCATCAAACAGTCCCGTGAAGGCACTGTTCACGTTTTGGGGGACGGATGTGTGTCAACGGTAAGTCTTAGCCATTTACTTCACCTATACACCTTTCACAACTCCTTTTAGCGGGTTTGATATCCCTGCGCTGGAACAGGTTATCAATTATGAGATGCCAAATGAAACTCCAGAAGAGGGAAGACAAAATTGAACTCCTTGGTAACTTTAGAAATTTTTTTCAAGGCGACCATCATTCGTCATCTTGGCCTGCATAGAAACCAAATTTACAGAAATCTCCTTTACGCGACGCCAAATTACAAGTTATAGTCGTCTAACGCCGCGTTTCGTCCCAAAGAATTTACAGTCTGCCTCAATCGGGATCAGGCCGAACCGTAGGCTGAATTTGCCCGCTCGCAGCGCTAGGGGTTTGCGCTGCATATGCGCGCTATCGCAGAGAGCGATGAGATTTAAGAGGGGGCAGACTGGCTAGCCGCAGAAGTGGCGCGAAACCCTCGCGGCGGGGACTCCCGCCATGCCAATTTTGGCCTGGTTAGGATTGGGGCAGACTGTATACAAGCTTATGCTTGAGGCCTCGGGCCTTCATTGACCTCACTGTGGAGATCTCTGATATGGTCTCATTTTTTTCTTTTGGTTTTTGTCTTAAATGAATTGTTCTTGTTTTTTTTCGTCAATAAAAGTTGTTCTTTAGGTAAAGTGTTCACTGCGCAATCACTGGGATCAGTTTTTGGGGCAAAGGGGAATTCGTACAAAAATTTTGGGTCAAAGGGGAATTCGTTTTCGAAAACCCCTTTTGACAAGCTCGTGCCGGGCCCTGACTCGGTTCAAAATGAAGCTAGAAGGCTCGATTTTTGCTGGCTTGCCACAATGCCAACTTCCTGCCATTGGCAATTTTTTGAGCCTCATCGCTTCACTCTATTTCCCCGATCCTAAAATCCATGATTTTCTACGCTGTAAATTCCCGGATTTTGTACAGTTCGTCTTCTAGAAAAGCTGCAGCGCTGAAAATCTCTGAGCATTATTGCTGCTAGACACTAACACTACACAAAATGTTTCAGGCTGATTGGCTGAGTCTGAGGCCCGTTTTGAAAATCGGGCAAAACTCTCACTTGCAGCTAGGATGGCAAGGAGCCAATGGTTCCATTGGATTCGTCGGTAAAATTTAACCCATCTGAGTCCTTTTCTTTTTTCTCCAAACTGAGTTCGAGAGCGCTATTTCCACAATAAAGCGTAATCTGCGTTTTGGGACTTATCTGCCCAAGATAAGCAGCAGTACCATATATTGCACGAAATTTCGCGAACTCATAACTCGGTTCAAAATGAAGCTAGAAGGCTCGATTTTTGCTGGCTTGCCACAATGCCAACTACCTGCCATTGGCAATTTTTTGAGACTCATCGCTTCACTCTATATCCCCGATCCTAAAATCCATGATTTTCTACGCTGTAAATTCCTGGATTTTGCACAGTTCGTCTTCTAGAAAAGCTGCAGCGCTGAAAATCTTTGAGCATTGTTGCTGCTAGACACTAACACTACACAAAATGTTTCAGGCTGATTGGCTGAGTCTGAGGCCCGTTTTGAAAATCGGGCAAAACTCGCACTTGCAGCTAGGATGGCAAGGAGCCAATGGTTCCATTGGATTCGTCGGTAAAATTTAACCCATCTATGTCCTTTTCTTTTTTCTCCAAACTGAGTTCGAGAGCGCTATTTCCACAATAAATCGTAATCTGCGTTTTGGGACTTATCTGCCCAAGATAAGCAGCAGTACCATATATTGCACGAAATTTCGCGAACTCATAACTCGGTTCAAAATGAAGCTAGAAGGCTCGATTTTTGCTGGCTTGCCACAATGCCAACTACCTGCCATTGGCAATTTTTTGAGACTCATCGCTTCACTCTTTATCCCCGATCCTAAAATCCATGATTTTCTACGCTGTAAATTCCTGGATTTTGTACAGTTCGTCTTCTAGAAAAGCTGCAGCGCTGAAAATCTCTGAGCATTATTGCTGCTAGACACTAACACTACACAAAATGTTTCAGGCTGATTGGCTGAGTCTGAGGCCCGTTTTGGAAATCGGGCAAAACTCGCACTTGCAGCTAGGATGGCAAGGAGCCAATGGTTCCATTGGATTCGTCGGTAAAATTTAACCCATCTATGTCCTTTTCTTTTTTCTCCAAACTGAGTTCGAGAGCGCTATTTCCACAATAAATCGTAATCTGCGTTTTGGGACTTATCTGCCCAAGATAAGCAGCAGTACCATATATTGCACGAAATTTCGCGAACTCATAACTCGGTTCAAAATGAAGCTAGAAGGCTCGATTTTTGCTGGCTTGCCACAATGCCAACTTCCTGCCATTGGCAATTTTTTGAGCCTCATCGCTTCACTCTATTTCCCCGATCCTAAAATCCATGATTTTCTACGCTGTAAATTCCCGGATTTTGTACAGTTCGTCTTCTAGAAAAGCTGCAGCGCTGAAAATCTCTGAGCATTATTGCTGCTAGACACTAACACTACACAAAATGTTTCAGGCTGATTGGCTGAGTCTGAGGCCCGTTTTGAAAATCGGGCAAAACTCTCACTTGCAGCTAGGATGGCAAGGAGCCAATGGTTCCATTGGATTCGTCGGTAAAATTTAACCCATCTGTGTCCTTTTCTTTTTTCTCCAAACTGAGTTCGAGAGCGCTATTTCCACAATAAAGCGTAATCTGCGTTTTGGGACTTATCTGCCCAAGATAAGCAGCAGTACCATATATTGCACGAAATTTCGCGAACTCATAACTCGGTTCAAAATGAAGCTAGAAGGCTCGATTTTTGCTGGCTTGCCACAATGCCAACTACCTGCCATTGGCAATTTTTTGAGACTCATCGCTTCACTCTATATCCCCGATCCTAAAATCCATGATTTTCTACGCTGTAAATTCCTGGATTTTGTACAGTTCGTCTTCTAGAAAAGCTGCAGCGCTGAAAATCTTTGAGCATTGTTGCTGCTAGACACTAACACTACACAAAATGTTTCAGGCTGATTGGCTGAGTCTGAGGCCCGTTTTGAAAATCGGGCAAAACTCGCACTTGCAGCTAGGATGGCAAGGAGCCAATGGTTCCATTGGATTCGTCGGTAAAATTTAACCCATCTATGTCCTTTTCTTTTTTCTCCAAACTGAGTTCGAGAGCGCTATTTCCACAATAAATCGTAATCTGCGTTTTGGGACTTATCTGCCCAAGATAAGCAGCAGTACCATATATTGCACGAAATTTCGCGAACTCATAACTCGGTTCAAAATGAAGCTAGAAGGCTCGATTTTTGCTGGCTTGCCACAATGCCAACTTCCTGCCATTGGCAATTTTTTGAGCCTCATCGCTTCACTCTATTTCCCCGATCCTAAAATCCATGATTTTCTACGCTGTAAATTCCCGGATTTTGTACAGTTCGTCTTCTAGAAAAGCTGCAGCGCTGAAAATCTCTGAGCATTATTGCTGCTAGACACTAACACTACACAAAATGTTTCAGGCTGATTGGCTGAGTCTGAGGCCCGTTTTGAAAATCGGGCAAAACTCTCACTTGCAGCTAGGATGGCAAGGAGCCAATGGTTCCATTGGATTCGTCGGTAAAATTTAACCCATCTGTGTCCTTTTCTTTTTTCTCCAAACTGAGTTCGAGAGCGCTATTTCCACAATAAAGCGTAATCTGCGTTTTGGGACTTATCTGCCCAAGATAAGCAGCAGTACCATATATTGCACGAAATTTCGCGAACTCATAACTCGGTTCAAAATGAAGCTAGAAGGCTCGATTTTTGCTGGCTTGCCACAATGCCAACTACCTGCCATTGGCAATTTTTTGAGACTCATCGCTTCACTCTATATCCCCGATCCTAAAATCCATGATTTTCTACGCTGTAAATTCCTGGATTTTGTACAGTTCGTCTTCTAGAAAAGCTGCAGCGCTGAAAATCTTTGAGCATTGTTGTTGCTAGACACTAACACTACACAAAATGTTTCAGGCTGATTGGCTGAGTCTGAGGCCCGTTTTGAAAATCGGGCAAAACTCGCACTTGCAGCTAGGATGGCAAGGAGCCAATGGTTCCATTGGATTCGTCGGTAAAATTTAACCCATCTATGTCCTTTTCTTTTTTCTCCAAACTGAGTTCGAGAGCGCTATTTCCACAATAAAGCGTAATCTGCGTTTTGGGACTTATCTGCCCAAGATAAGCAGCAGTACCATATATTGCACGAAATTTCGCGAACTCATAACTCGGTTCAAAATGAAGCTAGAAGGCTCGATTTTTGCAGGCTTGCCACAATGCCATCTTCCTGCCATTGGCAATTTTTTGAGCCTCATCGCTTCACTCTATTTCCCCGATCCTAAAATCCATGATTTTCTACGCTGTAAATTCCTGGATTTTGTACAGTTCGTCTTCTAGAAAAGCTGCAGCGCTGAAAATCTCTGAGCATTATTGCTGCTAGACACTAACACTACACAAAATGTTTCAGGCTGATTGGCTGAGTCTGAGGCCCGTTTTGGAAATCGGGCAAAACTCGCACTTGCAGCTAGGATGGCAAGGAGCCAATGGTTCCATTGGATTCGTCGGTAAAATTTAACCCATCTATGTCCTTTTCTTTTTTCTCCAAACTGAGTTCGAGAGCGCTATTTCCACAATAAATCGTAATCTGCGTTTTGGGACTTATCTGCCCAAGATAAGCAGCAGTACCATATATTGCACGAAATTTCGCGAACTCATAACTCGGTTCAAAATGAAGCTAGAAGGCTCGATTTTTGCAGGCTTGCCACAATGCCATCTTCCTGCCATTGGCAATTTTTTGAGCCTCATCGCTTCACTCTATTTCCCCGATCCTAAAATCCATGATTTTCTACGCTGTAAATTCCTGGATTTTGTACAGTTCGTCTTCTAGAAAAGCTGCAGCGCTGAAAATCTCTGAGCATTATTGCTGCTAGACACTAACACTACACAAAATGTTTCAGGCTGATTGGCTGAGTCTGAGGCCCGTTTTGGAAATCGGGCAAAACTCGCACTTGCAGCTAGGATGGCAAGGAGCCAATGGTTCCATTGGATTCGTCGGTAAAATTTAACCCATCTATGTCCTTTTCTTTTTTCTCCAAACTG